CAGGGTCTTACTATGCAGTTCAGTTTGGCCTTGAGCTCACTTTGTAGCCCAGGCTGGTCTCGAACTCACAATGATGGTCCTGCCTCAGCCTCCTGAGTGCTGGGATGACAGTTGTGCACACCATACCTGGCTCTGCTTTGGTTCTTTATAGCAACCATATGTGGCCTTGGCCCTGCACTGGACTTTGGAAATGCCAGGAAGATTGAACTTTGTTCCTTGTAGCCTCCTGTGCTCCCTTCATTGTCTCATATCTTTGTCCTACAGGACAAAGCTGACTTGTGATTAGTGACATTTCCTTCCTTCCTAGGTTGCAGATTCTGTGACGTCAAGCACCAGTCTTTTTCATTTTTATTTTATGCAAACTCCTACAATATTTTTTAACAGACTACAGACATGAACATAAATTTATTAACCTTGCAGAGCAAAGAAAATACATTACATTCACTAAGTAGAGAGATGAACATGTTGTTTAGTTTTTGCTTTTTTCTTATTTTAATGGTGCTAGGAATTAAACCCTGGGTCTTGGGTTTCTCTTTATTTGGAAATCATTGCCAAATTTACAAATGCTGTAGAAAGAAAAATAGCACAAAGAACTCCCAAGTATTCCTTGGCCCAAATTGGTCTGTTAAGATATCACCCTATCTGTTTAGTTCTGGAATTCTCTCTAAACAAGCACACAGGTAGAGTGGACACCTGCCGACAGGCACTGACACACACTCTTTCTGAAATCGGAGGCTAGATTCCATGAACCATGACTTCCCCCCTGCACCTGGGCATGCAGATTTCCTAGGAACAGGGTGTTCTCTTACACAAGCACAGTCCTACAGTCACTTCTCAGACACTGCGCCACTGACGCAGTGCCTCCTTCCAGCCTCCTGGCCGAGTCTGATGTTGTCACTTGACATCGAGACCTCCTTTCCAGTAGACCTGCACACCACGCAGTACAGATCCGTGCAGGGATCAGATTGAGTTGTCCTCTTCAGTTTTCTGTAACTGATGCTTTCCCACAGATTTTCAGGTGCACAGATCACCCCCCGCCCCCACATTCCTCCTTTGGCCTAACACTTACATTTTTTTCTCTTCGGTGCTGCTGAGGATGGAACCCAGGGCTTCTTCCATGCTGGACAAGTGTTCTCCCACTGAGCTACACCCCCAGCCCCTAAAATACTTTTTTTCAGTTTTGCAGTGCTGGTGATTGAACCCCTAAAATAATTTTTGTTTGAAAATTCAGAAAGCTTTTAGTGAAGTTGGTAAAACCGGAACTTTTTTTGTTTGTTTGAGTTCGGGTCTCAGTATTTATTCCCAGCTTGCCTTGAACTCATAATGCAGCTCAGGCTGGCCTCAGACTTGGAGTGGTCCTCTTATGTCAGCCTCCTGAGTGCTGAGATTACAAGCATGTGCCACCATGCCCTGCATGCTGAACTTTTAAATTACAATTGTCTGTCTTGAATTTTCTCAATGAACTTTTCAGTGTCAGAAAACATATTTCAATTTCTAGTCAAATACTATTTTAGTCAAATAGTTTTAACTAAAATGGCAGGGTGGTATATTTTATATTTACACACTGAAATTTGAATAAATATTTGAACTTTGCTTTGTAGTTTTATCAGCACATAAAAATTAACCCCCACCCACACCTGCCTCCTATAAGTTTAAGCTGTATCTTACAAGGACCGTCCTTACTTGCCTTTTTGGAGCAGTGTTGATAATAAGTGCTCCCTCCTCTTGATCGCTGGTGCTTTCTGAAATAGAATGAGCATATGGCTTTGTAAGCTCTGAAATGATGGTTTGTAACTTCCAGGTGATATGGGATGTTTTATCATGTCATTCCAGAGGCATGTTTGAATGGTTACTACATAGGTATTACTTTGCCTAAAAAGAAATGTTTATAACTTTTAAAAATGTGCACTATGGGTATACACTGCTACCCTTTTAATCTTAAGATTCCCTGGGCTTCGAAGTCAGTGATTTGACTGCTCCTGACATTTGAGAGTGAAACCCCCAGATGTCAGGTGTGCCTTTACAGACAGTTACTGTGTCACTTCCGTGATCCAGCAATGTCTTCACAGATGCATGGGGGGAAGACACGTGTGAGTCTATGGCTTGAGCATGCTGAGGAACAGCTATCCGTCCCACACAGAAGAAATTCCTAAGCAAGGCTCCTCCAGAGAGTGAGCACCATGTAGAGCTGTGCAGCCGCGCCGCTGCCTTGCTTCTGAGCAGTCCCTCGGTTACCAAGTCAGATGGCTCAGTTTGGTACGGGTGTGATGGAACTTTTCACTTTCAAACTCACACACTTTAAGGATTAAAAATAGGTCTGCTGGTGGCAGGAGGCTATGGTGCCTGTCTTTTTCGGTGGGTTTGTTTGTTGGTATGAATTGAGCTGGGGTTGAACCATTGGCCATGCATTAAGTGGTATCTTAGTGTTCCATACTTGATAGTCAGCAGTTGCTTGTGCTCCCTTTTGTGGATTAAATCTCCTAAATCATCCAGTATCCTCAGTGAGATAATGAAACTAACTTGTGAAGCCGGCATGGTGGCACACTTCTGTAATCCCAGCACTGGGGAGGCTGAGGCAGGAGGATTGTTAGGAGTGTGAGGCCAGCCTGGGTTACAAAGTGAGATCAAGGCCAGCCTGAACTGCATAGTCAGACCCTGTCCCAAAAAGACCAAAAAAAAAGTAAAAGAAAAAAAAGAAACTACTGTGTGCAAAATGCATGTCTATGCAAATTGTGTATTTGAGGAAGTCATTAAGTGATTTCTGTTCTTTGCACTGAAGTTTTATAATTAAGTTTCAGTAAAATATATAATTCAAACATGCGCGGTCTGAAAAAATACACAGTAAGGAATTCTCCTGCACTCCTGTCCACACCCACTTGGTCGGCACACACAGGGAAATAAACGGACGTCCCTCTTCAGCCACTGCCACTTTTTTGGGGTGCTTCAGATTGAAGCCAGGGCCTCACACACACCAGGCAAGCAGTTCAACCCTGAACTACACCAGCCTCCACCTTTTTCTTTTCTTTTCTTTTCTTTTTTTGTTTGAGACAAGATCTTATGTAGTTCAGGTTGGTCTTGAACTCACTATGTAACCTGTACTGACCTTGGACTCACAATGATCCTCCTGCCTCAGCCTCCCATTTCTGGGATTACAGGCATGTACCACCACAACTGGCTCTCAACTTTTTTTTGGAGGGATCTCCCATTGTTAAATTTTTATATAGGTTCTGCTAAATTGCTCAGGCTGGCTTCAAACTTGACCCTCCTGCCTCATCCTCTGAGTAGCTGAGATTACAGGCATGTCCCTTTTTATCTTTCCAGTATCTCTTTATAGAAATACAAACACACACTTGTTATTTCCCATCCTTTGTTGCACAGATCCTGAATAGTGTCCTGATTTCTTCCTATCGCTGGTAAAGCTCTCCTTTATTCTCCCCCAGGGAGTTTTGTGATCAGATTGAAGGTACCATTCCCTGGAAAGATTATTGAGGTGAAGTTGTAATAAAAACACACTTAAAATCTGTAGCAGGCTTTTTCAAATAATACTTTACAAATAAAGAACTGGGTAGTTACGGAACATTCTAGTTGTTACCTGTGCAGCCACACATATGCATGTAGCTATATATAGCTTTTATTTTTTCCATTTTGTTTTACAACAGGGCTTCATTATATAGTCCAGACTGGCCTTGGACTCACTACGTAGCCCAGGCTGGCCTTGAGCTTGTGGCAATCTGTCTCAGCCTTCTGAGTGCTAAGATTTCAGGTGTGAGCCACTATGCCCCGCTAGTCATCTGTATATAGTATGTTCCCTGCGTTCTCAATTGAAATAGTGCTTTCTTATTCAGGAGATAATAGATAGCTTTAAATACAGCATTTCTTCTATTAGTATGAAATAAAACAACATAATTCCTGATGAGTGATTTTTAACATTTAACTTCACAGCTACAATATCAGGTGTTTCTTAGATTTTACTTCATTCTTCACCACACTTATGTCTCTTGTATTCATTTCCTGGGGTTTGTAACCAGGGTTGCTCTTCTCCAAGAAGAAGGTGCGTGTGGGATCGGGGAGTGTTACTCTTCCTAATGATGCTGGAGATGGAGTCCAGGCTTCACCCCTGCTGAATGCAGTGCTCTACCACAGAGCTGTGTCCCCAGCGCCAGAGAGTGGTGTTTCCTCTTTTGCATTTGAGCAATAATCTAACTGTGGGCTAGAACTCTGTGGGGAAGAATACTCCACAACTCCAGGAACAAAGTACTTTTTCATTAAACTTGCCAAACATTGCCCCATCGCTTTAGTTTTGTTGATTCTGCTCTTAAAACCCTGTTAAGTTTTTAAGTTCAGCGTTGTAAATTTAGTAATCTAAATTGCACATTTGGCTGCTCTCTAGGGCTCCTCTCAGGGCAGCCGGTGTTTATTTTTTCTGCCTCCTTTTCTCCTGCAGCCCTCCCCTTCCTTTGCTTAGTGTGTGCCCGAGTGGATGAGTCCTGCTTAGTCACCGAGTGCCCTTGGGCTGGGGCGGGGAGCTGCCTTGTGCCCCGCAGCCCTGCCTGCACACCTCGGGCTCTGAGCAGAGGTGACTGAGGGAGGGACAGATGGACTGACTGCCCGTCTCTCGGGTAGGCCATTCTCACTTGATTCTTGGCAGCACTCTCCCCTCGCAGGTCTGTTCCCAGGGTTACATTCAGAATTCTTTGGAATCAGGGCTGCGCCTTACCCAGTGTGTACATTTGTGCATCATGTTTCAGTACATTTTCAAAATAAATCTCGAGCCGGGCGTGGTGGCGCACACCTGTAATTCCAGCGCTCAGAAGGTGGAGGCAGGAGGATCGTTGCAACGTTTGAGAACAGGCTGGGCTACAAAGTGAGCTCAAGGCCAGCATAAACTGCACAGTGAGACCCTGTCTCAAAAAAAAAAATTTAAAAAAAAAACCCAAAACCAAATCGCATATGTAGGGCTGGGGATGTGACCAGGGGTGGAGACGGTGCCTGCTTTGTGTGCTGGAGGCCCTGGGGTTGATCCCACTAGTGACTTCTTTTTTCAAAAATATGACACACCTGTATTTAAAGAGCATTAATCTGAATCCTGAGCTCCCCTTCTTGGATCCCCGCCTTGCTACTCCTGCCTCGTTTTCTGCCTTTCTTCAGTCTGTGGCTTTGAGGAAGAAGACTCAAAGTAGCCCTAAGGGTCCGCTGACGGGCGTGGTGGGAAAGAGGGCGAGCCCCTTTCTCTTGCATGTAGGACTACAGGTTTGTTTAATAACTGACATATTTCAAAATAAGCTATGCAGGTTTCAGAGTGTTTGCCGAGAATTTATGGAAAAAGGTATTTTGTTTTTCGAATTGGAAATACTACCCTTATAAATGTCAGCCGAAGCCCCTCAGGGTTTTGTTAGAAGACTGGGGCTTCTGGCTTAAATGCTTCATAGGATTGTTAGAATATGTACGTTTTGGGGAACTTAAATGATCGGTATAGTTTATGTGATGGGTGACTCTTCTTGTTTCTTTCAGTATATTTTTGGAGATTTTAGCCCTGATGAATTCACGCAGTTCTTTGTGACGCCTCGCTCTTCAGTTGAGGTAAGACAAACTTTCAGTAAATACATGAGATGGTTATGCTTCCGTTTAACTTGCTAAATTTGTTTTTTAATGAAGAATTCTGACCTACAGAAAAGTATAGAAACTGATCTAGAAATTCCCTGAACCCATCAGCTAGATTTGATTATTATTGAGACTTTGCCCTAATTGCTTTAGACTTTTATAAAATAAATCAGACTTCACAGGTGCAGTGGAAGCCGGTGGTGCAGCCTCACCCACCTCATCCCTTTCTTCCCAGAGTGCACAGCTCTGTTGCACGGTGGGTGTTGGTTCCTGGCTGTGGTGCTCACCTTGCATTGCACATACTGGACTGGACCAGACCCCACACCCCACAGACTGCTGGGTGTCTCATGCCTTTAGAAGGCCGGTTAGGTGATGCACTGTAGTCATGCTCTTCTAGTTTATTTTCAGCTATTATATTCTTCCTGTTTATCTACTTTTGTAAATTTTTTCCTTTTTTTGTACCGGGAATCGAACTCAGGGCCTCGAGCTTGCCAGGCAGGTGCTGCGCTGCTGAGCTACCTCCCCAGCCCTATAAATTTGCTCCTGTTGTTTGATTTTAGTTAGTACTATCTGTTGAATGAGCCTTAATTTCTCTGTCTTCCTATTTAGAACCCTTTAGGTATTTTTGTTCAATAAATACTTTAAAAAATACGGCAGTAAACATGCTTTGTTGCTGCTTGTCTCATTTAAGAGTTTTCTCCTTTACATTTTTAAACAGATTCTCGCTAGTTCTCAGCTTTGGAATGCCCAGAGTTTCTGTTATTCTCACATGTAATAAGTGGATTCTCATTGTTTAATTTGCATTTCCCAGATTATAAAGAGCTGGGGCACTGTTTCATTATTTTCACATATATGTTAACCCTACACATTTTTCCTTCTGTAAATTACTGTATCTTTTCTTTTTTTTTTTTTTTTTTTTGTCTTTTTGAGACAGGGTCTCTCTGTGCAGTTGAGGCTGGCCTTGAACTTACTTTGTAGCCCAGGCTAACCTCATACTCACAGCGATCCTACTACCTCGGCGTCAGTACTTGGACTATAGGTGTACACCACTACGCCCAGCTTTTGATCTGTATCTCTTGTCTGTGACTTCAAATCAAGTGGCTTAGTCTTTTTTTTTCTTGATTTACAGGGTTAATAATGTTTGATTTTGTGCATTATAGTTATTTCTTTCTAGCATGAGAGATTTTAAACTTTATATGTGCTGCATAGTTTGGGATGTTTTGCTGGGCAAAAGGAGTATGTTTTTAACTTTAAAGTCAAATGGATTGACTTTTCTTTATTTTTAGTTTTCAAAAATATAATCAAGAAATTTCCCTTTCTTCCTTATGAGAATAAAGGTGTTTATTTTTTGGTGTGTAGCACAGGTGAAGCAGAGGTGTGTGTGTGTGTGTGTGTGTGTGTGTGTGTGAGAGAGAGAGAGAGAGAGAGGGGGGGGGGGGGGGGGAGAGGAAGAGAGAGGTGGGGAGAGAAAGAGAGGGAGAGAGGGAGAGAGTACAGAGTCTACTCCACTTCCCCGTGACCCTAGCAAGTCATCTTGGGTCTTGAGGTCCCGCCTGCCCTGCAGGGCCTGTGCCTCTGCCCTGCCTGCCGGCCCCAGGGCCTGCTCCAGGTGTGCCTGATGTCTGTGGCACAGTGCTGCCCTTGATCTCCAGGAGCTCTCGCTGCTTCACAGACCCTCAGCTACCTTGTGGCTTTCACTGTCTTAGGAATATGTGATCAGCATGCCAAGTCTCATGAGAAATCTTACGAAATTTTATGAGAATTGCATTAAACTTACGAGTTTGTACAATTAATACCTTCATGGTCATGACTTTTCTTAAAAATGATTTTTTTATATTTTGTTATTCATTCAGGTTTCGCCTCATATACCTCCTTTCTCCTCCTGCAGTGCTGGGGACGGAACCCAGAATCTCGGGGACACATGCGCCACACCTTCCCCCAGATCTTTTAGAATGTTCGCTCTGATTAATCATTTCTGAGGGCTGGGGCTGTAGCTCAGTGGTACAGTGCTTGCCTAGAATGCACAAGGCCCTGAGTTCAATCCCTAGCATCACACACACACACACACACACACACACAAATCATTTCTTTTTTTTTTTTTTTTTGGTCTTTTCTTCCGGTACCAGGAATCAAACTCACGACCTTGCGCTTGCCAGGCAAGTGCTTTGCCACTGAGCTAAATCCCTAGCCCCAAATCATTTCTGTTTTAGCTAAATTAAAACTTACCTGGGACATTTTTGCAATGTATATTTCTTTTGTTCTTGTCCCTTTTCTTTTTCAGACAAGGTCTTGGTCTGTAGTTCAGATTGGCCTCGAACTTGTGGCAAACCTCTTAGGTCTGCCTTCAAGGGCTAGAATTATAGGTGTGTGCCACCATGCCTGGCTCAAATTCATATTTCAAATACAAAACTGTGAAAATGCAAAAACGGGGAAAAGAGAAAATTGTGTTTCAAGTAAAATCTTAATTTTTTTGGAACCTAGGGGTTTATGCCTGCAGGCAAGTGCTCTACCACTGAGCTCTGTGCCCAGCTTTTTAAATTTTTTTAAGACAGTGACGTGCTATGTTGCCCAGGCGGTATCAAACTTACGATCCTCCTGTTTCAGCTTCCCAGACTTGGTGCTATGGATTAAAGACATGTGCCATTAATAGCCAGCCTTAGTTAACTTTTTTTTTGAGACAGGGTTTCACTCTGCAGTTCAGGCTGGGCTTGAACTCACTTTGTAGCCAGACTGGCTTCAAACTCAAACTTGCAGCGATCCTCCTGCCTCAGCCTCCCGAGTGTCAGAATTACAAGCACTTAGTTAACTTTTAATGATGCCTTTTAAGTTAAGAGTTTTTGTACTAGGTAAATTGAGCAGGGGGTGCTCACCCTTGGAGTGGGATCAAAGGCTAGGCCTGGGGTCCCACTGAGCCACTGTGTGGGGTTAAAGTCTGTGGAAAATGAATACATTCAATTCAGTGTTATTGCCATATCTTGTGACTATTGATATTACCTTGTTAAGGGATCTGGGAGTCTGATCCAGGAAAGAGTGAGGGTTCAAGTTGGATATTGTGATTCTTTGAATCACAAGAAGGTGTGGTGGCACCTGCTAGAAACAGCAAAATTGTGCTGCTCTTTGTGATTAAAGATTTAAAAGATCACAAAGCCTGCTGGGTTTTCATCTGATAGGAGAGTGGGAATGCACCGTTTTTCTAGTCTGAAGACCTGCAGCCAGCAGCTGTGCCACTTGGCTAGTTTCTTATGTGATTTCCTTCGTTTCTTCATGCCTCTTTCCTCCCTCCCCTCCCCCATTTGAAAATGGGCACTGCTGACTGACGTCACAGAAATGTTGGGAAATCAGCCTATGTCTAGCCTGACACCTGGGATGTAACAAGTCAGCACAGTAGATATGAAAGGTGCATATAGTAAAGTTAGACCAGATCTTTTCTTTGGAGAACTAATGATGGTCACCAGTCATTTCTAGCTTTAGAAATCTTAGTATAGCTGGGGTGGTGCACATCTGCATCCCAGACCTTAGGAAGCTGAGGCAGGAAGATCACCCCAAGTTTGAGGCCACTGTGGACTATACATAGGGATTTCAAGGCTGTCCTGAACTACATAGTGAGGATCGGGGGGATGAGTGCACACAGAGACAGAGAACAAAAGCTTAGCCTGTCTAAATTCTCTTTCTCTTTCTCTTGCTTTGAGCATACATTAAAGTTGGAGGGGGCACAGCAGATGTCTCTCCACCAAAGGGAAACACAGACTAGCATAATTGGATTAAGTTCTTAATATTGTAATTTTGGAGTCTCTTTTAGGGGTGTGTGTTTCCTGGGGGTTCCTGGCCAGGTTGGGGCTGTGGATGAGGATGGCCTTACACTTAACTGCATCACCACTCATTTGCGAGGCCCGTGTTTCCTCCACCAGCCCCAGACATGACACTCAGGGCTCCTCGTGTGGCATGCAAACTGCAGCCCGGTGGCAGGAACCTATGGCACATGTGCGCACTGGACTCTGCGTGGTTCACCATCACTGATCTGGCCCTGTTCCTCATGTGCTTTTTTGCTATTGGGAATTTGATAAAGCATTTTTTTTCGTGCGTGGAGCCAAGAACTATTTGCCCAGAGTTAAGAAATGCAGGATGTTAGAATGTAAAAGTGTTCTGCCTTCCTGCAGAAGCCTTGCTCCTGGCAGCTGAGAGGTTTTTGTCTTTTAGTTTGTGTGCTAGAAAGTTTGCCCCTGGCAAGGTAGGCTGGCCAGTAATGCAACAGAACTGAAACAAAATTAGGCAATTTTTGTATACATTCTTAAATATTAGTATTAATTTTTAAAGGCAACTGATATCTTTTCTTGAGCTGTGCTCTAGTGTATAAGCCAGGGTGATTTAAAAATGAGTTTCTCCAATGGAAAGAGATGCAGCCAACTTACTAATAAGCATGTGGGACCTCAGCTAGTAATAATGTCATTGATGCTTAAAAATAGGGAGAAAGCACTCATTCCCCAGAACACCCAGAATCTCAGTACTGGAGGCAATACACACACCTAGCCGTTCCTGAATGAATGAGTAAATGCAAAGGAATGTAGTATACACAGCCTGTAGGTGTCTGTGTACTGAGAGTGTACACATGCACGTGTGTATCAGGGGTCAGTGTGCATTTAAGACAGTTCTTAATTTGGTGTCCCAGTGGGATTTCAGAAGTAGGAAGTCCTGGCTGAGCACGGTGGAGCCCACCTGTAACCCTAGCACGTGGGAGGCTGAGGCAGAAGGATTACCTTGAGTTTGAGGCCAGCTTGGGGTACATAGTAAGTCCAAGACCAGCCTGAAACATACAACAAGACCCTGTCTCAAAACAGAACAAAAACAAAGTAGGGAGTTCTGGTTTGTGGGGTCCTTTCAATGCAGGGTGAAACAGTGACAGCACCAGAAGGAGACTCTGAGACACCATTGTCCTTTGAATGCTGGCTTCCCCTGTCTGATATCCATGGAGGCAGGACCTCCTCCTTCCTGAGGGTCAAACAGAGCAGGAGTAGTGCCCATGCCCTGAGCGTGGGTGCTGCTGTATCATGGATCTGTATTTCCCGTCAGTGTTGTCTGCTTAAGTCTGTTCTTCATGACAATAATGAAATGCGTGAGGCAGGTTCACTATAAAGAGAAGAGGTTGATTTGGGCTCACAGTTCCAGAGGTACAAAGTCTTGTCTGATTCTGGCCTTGCTGTGGAACCCCAGGGTGCAGCTGTCTTGTCTCTGTCTCTAGCAGTGTCACCAGGATTCAGTTGTGAGGGCTCCATCCTAATGACGCAGCTAACCCTGTCACTTGTAGAAGCCTCATTCTAAACACCACATGATTGCAGGGAGAAACCATGTCCAGACCACACTGCACCATCCTGGCTGTCAGCATGGTCTGTCTTTCCCACCTGCTGCGCTCAGGGCTGGAGGTTTTTCTGTCTTTCTTTCTCCAAGTAGAACAGAGTACAGTAAGTATGAAGAACCTGTTCTGACGAGTGGGGCTGTGCAACCCAAAAAGAGATTTTTTTTAAAAAGTTTATTGGTACAATTTAGGTATAAATAGTGATCACATTCATCATAAGGAATTTGTACCTGTCCGTGCTGCATCTTGATCCCTCTTTTCTTCCCTGTTCTCCTCCCTTCCCTTCAACCCGTCTTCCTGTTGTTATTTACAAAGCTTTGTTTCCATTTTATCCTTTCCTCATTTTTTCTTTTCCCTTCCTTCCTTTCCCTCTCCCCTCTCCCTGCTCCCCTCTCCCTGCTCCCCTCTCCCCTCGTTTCCTTTCCCTTTGAACAATTTCTTCTTATTTCTGTTACATATTTTGGTCCTTTTGCACACTTTCAGTTTCTCACATCAGAGAGACAATGTGATATTTACATGTGTGTCTGATATATTTCACTTAAGATCCATCCATTTAGCTATAAATGTCTCAAGTTTATCCTTCCTTATGGTGGAGTAAAATGGTATTGTTTTAAAAAACCACATCTTCTTTACCCATTCATTGGTTGATGAACATTTGGCCTGTTTCCAAGATTTGGCTATTACAAACTGTGCTGCTATGAACGTGGGTGTGCATATATTGCTGTGGTGTGATGCTTTGAGTTGTTTTGGGAAGATACCACGTAGGGGAATAGCTGGGTCCAATGGGACTGCTAGTCCTAGTTTTTTGAGGAATCTCCACACTGATTTCCACAGGGGTTGCACCAGTCTACACTCCCACCAACAATGGAGAACAGCTCCTTTTTCCCACAGCCCCTCCAGCATTTGTTATTGCTTGATTTCTTCGTAACAACCGTTCTTTCTAGAGTGAGATGGAATCTCACTATTGTTTTAATTTGCATCTCTGAAATGATCAGTGATGTTGAACATTTTTCATAAATTTGCCATTTCTCCTTCTTCATCTGAGAAGTGTGTATTCATCTCAGATGCCCAATTTTGGATTGGGTCTTTAAATTTGTGGAGCCTGATTTTTTTTTCTAATTAAGGGAAGGTTTTTTTGGTGTTACAGTGATTTTTGTGTGAGTAGAATCATTCAGACCCCTTTTTGTGCCTCAGAATAATTCAGATGTCCATCTCCAGGGGCCCAGAGTGTTGTGACAGGAAGCACAGGCTTTCTGGTACCAGCACGGGTTGTGTGTTGTGCTTTCCCAGGTACCTGTGCCTGCTGCCTTCACAAGTGCACTTGCTGCTTTGATCTGTGGTGTGAGTGCCACACTGCCAGCCAGGTGCCATGCAGCCCTGGGATTCTGTGTCCCTGCTCTGTGCTGCCCCCTGGTGGGAGAACGTGCAGCTCCCAATCTTGAAGCCTTGCGTTCTTTTCCAATCCCGGCTTTTTTTTTCTTAGCTTCCTGTTTGCTATGCTTCTCTGGAGAGAGAATTTAAGGGGTTACTGGGGAGATAAGCTTTCATCTCTGTAATGACTAGATTGTCTTGTTGAGAGTTCATAAAGCCGCAGTTTCCAAGCCTCAGAAGGTGTGAGAAGTGCCCAGCTTGGAAAAATGCTGCCCCAAGGTGTTGTGCTGTTTTTTGTTTTCTTCAGGTAGCAGTAATTTTCTGTTTACCTTATCTCCTTTCCTTTTACACTTTCTCATCCCAGACATGTCCACGTCAGGTTTTCCCACCTCTCGAATAAATATGGAATGGCTAGGAGGGAGAAGTATTTGAGAATTTCGTAGAAGTTCGAGCTTTTTACAAAGAAGCCAGACCTGTGCTGTTTGCCTTCTCTCTTCTAAACCAGAACTGCAATGTTAGATATTAATTCAGTTGTTTTAGGACATGGCGTTGGATAGGAAATCTCAGTTCCCAGGCTTCCCCCGCTCCCCCTCAACCCCAGGGCACTTTCCATTCTGACCCCAGCTTGACCCTGATGGTGAACAGGACGTGCGGATGGCCACTGGTGGGCAGAGCAGCATCTGCTCAGCGGCAGCTGCCCTGAGAAGGAAAGCAGGCCGTGTCAGAAGCGGCGTGTTGTAGCTGATTTATGCACCCATGGAACTTATTTTCAATTTCTTAGCCTCGTTGTTGAATCTGTGTAACGATGATAAATGTTTGAAAGCATTCCTGTAGTGGTGCTCCCCATTAGGGTGGTGGAAGGTAATGCAGTGTCCAGACCTTCCATGTGTGCCATTCTGGTAGAAGGACTGTCCTGAGAAGTTGCATGAGTACAGTTTTAATGCAGTGTTGTCTAGACTCAGTAGTACGTTGTGTGTTAATGATCTGTTGCATTGAAATTTGTTTTCCGATTCCTCGTGCAGCTCCCTCCGTACAGTGGAACAGCTCTGTGTGGCACTCAGGCTGCGGACGAACTGCCTGATGGTAAGCTGGTCTCTCTTCCTCCCTTGCTGAGCACTGCTGAGTGTGTCGGGTGGGCAGGCTGCCAACAGATACTGTCTCTTGGCTCAGATTTTGAAAGCAGCATTTCCTTCCAGCTTGGAGTTCTTGTGGTAAACTGTAGTAGATTTAATCCCTGGAGCACTCTGACCGTTGGGTTTGCTTTATACCTCAAAGTACTGGGCACTGAGATTCAGCAAGTTCTTTTTCTTAGTAGTTCTCAGTGCCGCAGGTATGTCACTTCCTATCCCTTGCCATGGCCACTTGTGCAGGCTCTGAAGGGGCTGCCCTGTCTTGTTGCTGCTGATGCCTGGGCTCAGGGTGGCTGGCCCGGAGCGGTGTGCTCCTTACATCCGAGCAGCTGAGAGTTCTCATTTTCGCAGCTTACCCTCCCATCCCATCTGTCGCAGGCCGCCTGGGAGTTCAGGGGCTGGCCTCATCCCCTGGGCTAGAGGGACTGCTGGGCTGGCTGGCTCTTATCCAGGTGCAGCCATTTGTGCGCTGTGTGAGCCCCAGCACTGGGACACCCAGGCAGGCTGGCTCGCAGGAACAGCCTTTGTGGGCCGTAGAGCAGCAGGAAGAAAGTATTTTCTTGGAAAGCCTGGGATTTAGAGGCCGAGTTTAGTATGGTCAGACTTGGGAGGAGTTTAATTACAGTTCAGGGTTAGATGTAAGCTTAAAGAGATTAACCAAGCCTTGTTTTTGCACAGCAGCATCAGTTTTATAAGTAGCACTGTGGGAGACCATAGGGGGCACAACAGATTTCACAGGAGCTAAGCTTAGGATGATCGACACAACAGATGAAGTTCCAGGGTCCTGCAGCCGCTGCTCAGCCCCCCAGCTACCTCTTCCCCTGCTGGGGTCATGCCCTGGCATGTGCTTCTGCACCTGTGCAGCTCCCCTTTGTCTTCTGCACTGTGCACTTGGGTGCAGTCCACCTGTGTGTGTCTGTGCTTGCAGGAGGCCCATAGCCTTCATTTCCCTGGGACTTCCTTCTTTATGATTTCTAGTCCTTGGTATGTGGTTCCCCACCTCATCCCTCCCTCCTTCTAGGTGGTTGTCCCTTTTCAGTTGATGCTTCTTGACTCTTCCTCCATTCTCTATTCTCTTCTGCCTTAGTCTATCTTATACTCTGCTGGAGATAACTGGGATCATGCCGCCTGCTTGTATGCTCAGTGACAGGCCCACGGAAGGCCATTCCTCAGAAGCCTCTTGGGCTCACCCACCCGTGTTTCAGTTACTTTGTCTCTCTCACAGCACCTGCGCATTCACTCTCTGGTAGTGACTGTCTGCCCCCTCTCACACAATTCCAAGCATGTCTCTGATGTCTGTCCGTCTGTCCACTGCACAGTGTGTGTCTAGAGTTCTGTGAGCCCTCAGTACATTTGTTGGATTAATGACATAAAATTCTTCGTTGTGCTCCATCCCACCAGCACTAGCTACAGCAGGCCGCTGCAGGGGGAATTCATCATGGCATCCACCTTTTATACCTCTGCCTTTTTCAGACAGCTCTGAAAGCTTATTCTCACCCCATCCCATCCAGTTATCTTTAAGGTTCCTCTGACCACTAGCTTCTGATTGAAATTGATTTTCTTTTCCTGTGTCCAGAAGCGTTTTTTTTTAATAAAGAAGTTCATGGCTTTATCTCACCCTCCTTTTGCATTGTTATCCTCTGTCACTTAGTAAAAATAAACTCCTTGAGCAGAGATCTTGCCTTACTAACCTCGGTGTCCCACCTGGCACCCAGGCCACTGCTGTGTGTATTGCAGTGAGCACCCTTTGAGAAATGCTGCCATAGGAGCTGTTTTAGTTCAGTTGATTCTCCTTCCCTGAAAAACTACTGTCCACAGAACCAGAGCATTGCTTTCCCGTCTTTCTAGGGTACTGACTAGCTTAAAGAGCCATTTGCCAGGTGTGCCCAGGTGTGCTGGCACGCACCTATAATCCTACACTCATGAGGCTGAGGCAGGAGGACTGCTGCAAGGGCAAGGCCAGTATCATGGACTATATAGTGAAACTCTGTTTCAGAACAAAAAAGCTGCAACCAAAACTAGCCATGTTTGTAGGCTTCCCTTAGTGCGCCAGTCTCCAGATTGGGCTTTCGAGTTCCCAGCCTGCAGTACCTGTGTGTCCATTGCGAGTGTTCTTTGTAAGAGAGGGCCTGTCCTGGCTAGGAATCTGCTTCTCAGTGGTGTGTATATCAGCTTTCAGAGCTGTCTGAAAAAGGCAGAGGTATAAAAGGTGGATGCCATGACGAATTCCCCCTGCAGTGGCCTGCTGTAGCTGGTGCTGGTGGGATGGAGCACAACGAAGTATTTTATGTCATTTATCCAACAAATGTACTGAGGGCTCACAGAACTCCAGACACACACTGTGCAGTGGACCGACAGAATCTGCTTCTCAGTGTGTTGGGTAATGTTTTGTAAGTGGCTGTGACAGAGTGAAAAAGTTCTGTTAATGTCACTTCACTTTCTGAGCATTCTGTGCTCTAAGATTGAGAATCGAGACTGGAAGCCCTATCTGTTGGAAATCATGTCTTGCCCAAGCTGCGCAGCATATTGCATGCTCATTCTTTTTTTTTTTTTTTTGTGGTTTTTCGGTTTTTCTCCGGTACCGGGAACCGAACTCACGACCTTGCGCTTGCCAGGCAGGCGCTTTTGCCGCTGAGCTAAATCCCCAGACCCTGCATGCTCATTCTTAATGTGATTCCCAGTGTACTCTGGTCCCAAAGGCAGCCGCCAAGCCCTGGACACTGCTTGAGCCACTCATTTCAGCCCAGGGAGTGCTCAGCTCCAGGCACGTGGACAGCAGCCCTAGCTGTACAGGCACCCCTTGCTTCCTCGCTTTATAACTGAGCTCTGTTCCTGTCAGCAGGTCATTAAATGAATTGGTCATAAACTGAGGACTTGGATAAATATGTACATTGCAGCATTCAGAACAAAGAAACGGTCCAAGGAAACGCCAAGTTGATGACTTTGCTTTGATTTGCATAACTCTTATGTACAGTACTATAATCTAAAACAGAACTGTGTGGTACAGTACAATCAGCAAAAATTACAGTGTTGTATAAACAAGGTACATTGTACAAAAAAGACACTGAGGCTCTATAAACAAGAGGTACAGAACTGCACAAAAGAAAGGTCAGGCTAAGTGAACAGTCATTAAATAGGTAGGTTGTTAATCGAAAACAATAATCCACAACCTGCGGACCAACTTAAATAAGCAGGTTGTTAAATGAGAAGTATCTGTAGTAACAAGTTAGCTTTTCCTGCCTGGGCTACAAAGTGAGCTCAAGGCCAGCCTGGACCTTGCTATGTAGCAAGACCCTGTCTCAAGAAGACAAAAAACAAAATGAAACAAAACAAAAAACAAGTTAGCTTTTCTTTGCTGATTCTTTTCAAAGTAAAACAAAAAATAGTGTCCAGAGGAATCAGTATCCTTTTGGTGGCACTGTGTGTCAGCGGGCTGCTCAGTATAATCATGATCTGTCCTCTTCCAAGAACTCTGTGTTGTTGTGTACAGGATTGAGTCTCTTGCCCCAGCTATGAGGTCCAAATGAATGAAGACTCAACCCTAGAGACTTGTTTAGGGCTCTGTGTTTCTCCTGTCCACTAATGCCACATAACTGGCCCCCAAAGGCTTCTAAAGGCCCTTTCAAGGTGCAGTGTATTAAGTTCTCTACAGTAGAAGGCCATTCTTGAACATTATGATTCTTCACTTGAAATATGTGCCAGAAAAAAAATTGGATCTTTATGCTACATCTGAAGGCATCTTTAGTTATGCACTGGAAATGAATCCCAAGGCATGTGTCCTTTCGTTGACTTCAAACTTACAACCTCTGCATCAAATGTGAATAGCACTGTTGCTCCAAGTCTTTTGAAAAGCACAACTGATTCTGATAGTCTACCTAATTTTGGAGATATGAACTATGACAAAAATGTACATGTTAGCATGAATGAAATATGTAGCTTTTGTTTATCAGAAGGAAGTATTGAAAATTTCCTGAGAATTTTTTTAAAGCTTAGAGTCCACGTTTATCTTTCGGTATTTTGGGAAGTATCTTCGCCACTCATGGGTGAATTGGTGTGAATTCATTTAGAGGATACTCATACCTGTGAAAGAAGGGCTACTTCCAGACTTGACTTAGTGAAGGTCTTGTGTGGCCCTGATCCGTGCAGGATTCCAGCTCGTTTGCTTGCACAGTGCTTAGGTTGCACTAGCTATAGAAGCCATTTGCTGTTTGTAAAGCTTAGTTGTCTAGAATGCTTATTCCCTATTGCAAGCATAAAATAAGCCATTTTAGTAGAGTTAGTTTTCTTTGAGCGCAATATGCCACCCCCTCCTTGGGGTTGAACCCAGGTGAACATGTTCTCTCCCACTGAGCTGCCTTCCCAGACCATTGGGGATTTTAATCAGACAAATAGGTTTTATATTAGAACAAATTTATATCAGTTTATCTTCTGAAAGTCTTTCTTAGTTTCCCAAAGAGAGTTGAAGAGGACAGGCTTCTGTTTTCCACATCCCTAATTGAATACAGTTTTATAGATGTTATTTATTTTCAGCAAATTTTTCAGCATAAAAATGAAATGTAGCTTTTTTTTTTTGTTTCTGTTTGTCTTCTGGTACCAGGAATCGAACTCACAAGCTTGCACTTGCCAGGCAGGCGCTTTGCCGCTGAGCTAAATCCCCAGCCCCCAAAATGTAGCTTTATTAATTAGGAAAATAATCCTTTTTCAGTTTTCAGAAAATGAGTAATTATTTGTACTTTTATAGTCTGTAGATTATAGTCTAGTGGGACATTTACTAACTGTTTTCTTTCTAAACAGGGCAAGAGGATCAGAGGATTGAGTTTGGTATTAATGAAGTGATTGAGCCCAGTGACCCTCTGCCGAGAGCCCCCAGCTACAGTATTTCCAGCACATTGAACCCGCAGGCCCCTGAGTTTATTCTTGGTTGTACAGCTTCCAAAAAGACCCCTGACGGACTAGAGCAAGAGGTGAACTCCAGCCCCCTTGAGCGCCCATTCCCGGGCCCAGCCCTTGCCCTGGACTGCAGCTCGCACACTGAGGCCGAGGCTCTGGAGAGCGCCAATGGCCCAGGTGGCCTGGGACAGAGGGAGCGCAAAAGGAAAAAGAAGCGGCCGCCGGGGTATTACAGTTACCTGAAGGACGGGGCTGACGAGAGTACTTCCTCGGACGCGCTGGTCAACGGCCATGCCAACTCAGCAGGCCCTGGCGGGGTGGGTGCCGAGGACGCGGAGTTTTTGGGAGACATGCTCCCACCGCTTTCGCCCAGGACTTGTGACAGCCCTCAGAACCCCACGGACTTTATCAGTGACACTGTGCCTGACAGTCCTTTTCCTGGAGCACTGGACGGCACCGGGAGGACTGTGGGGCAGTCTCAGGGCTGCCGCGGGACTGATTTCGAGCAAGCCTGCCTCCCCGCAGAGCACCTGCTAAGGACAGCTGTGGCTCCGCCCTGCGCTGCTACCGATACTACTGAGAACCTTGGCGTTGCCAACGGACAAGTACTTGAATCCTCGGGCGCGGGCACAGCTGCCAATGGGGAGCTGCACACTGTGGAGAGCACAGACTTGGACACGGCCAAGCTGGAACGTGCGTCCCCTCCCGCTGACAGCGCCGTCTCCGCGCCCGTTCCCGTTAGCCAGCCCGCCAAGTCCTGGGCCAGCCTCTTTCATGATGCTAAGCCCTCTTCCTCCTCACCCGTGGCATATGTGGAAACTAAGTGTTCCCCTCCTGCCCCATCTCCCCTGGTCTCTGAAAAGCAGGTTGAAGTCAAAGAAGGGCTTGTTCCAGTATCAGAGGACCCCGTAGCCATACAGATCGCAGGTACAGTGAACCAGGTACAGGCTGAGCACGGCGCTCAGCAGCTGGCGAGCGGGTAGTTGCTGAGGCAGGCGGGGCTCACACGGTGGTGACAGATGGTACCCGTAGCGACAGGTCACCAGGTGTGGATGGGAATGGCTGAAGAGAGCCTGTGTCTTAGATGTTGTCTAACGCCAGACATTGTAGAAACCAAATGGGAGGAGAGGGGTGTCACAACTTCACATTAAGAAAAGGAAAAGAAAAAGAAAAATCCATTTCTATTACAAGCCCTTTTCTACTCGTAAATTACCTTTCTCTTTCTTACCTCTTGTTCAAGTAATTCTGTGCAACTGTTTGCCTGTACAATGAATCTGTCCTGTGTTACAGCTGTTGTATACCTTTGGTGCGATGGTCCCTGTTTGTATTGACTTTGTACTGTTGCTTTTTTATTTCTTAAACTGTAAGAAAGCACTTGTGAATCATGTAGCATTTTTCCTTTTTAATAACTTTTGGGTGGAATAGATGGATTTTATTTAGTTTTAGGACACCAAGGTCAGCTCTTGAGAGGAAAAGGAAAATTACAAATGTTCAGCCTGAAGTTAACATCTTCATTAACAGGGCAGCATGAGTCATGGGCTGCTTGGGGTGAAGCAGGGGGTTAGCTGCAGCAGGTGCCACGCTCAGCCGCACCTACGCAGGAGCCCAGCCTGTGGGTCTGCGTCTGCCGAGAGCTCTGCCATCCAGGCCCAACCCCTGTGCTCCAACTCACTTGCCCCCAGCGCTGGTGGCGGCCTGGTCTGGGCGCAGCAGCAAGCTGTGATCACGCACCTTTTGGGAGTGGGCAGTTTCACCAGCAGTCAGACGTCTTCTGGGGTTGGCAAGATGGCAGATACTTCTTTTTTGAGGCCTTCCTTATACAAACTATGTTATTGGAATCTTAATTTTCTGGAGGTCTTTTAAAATGAGGAAACAACAGGGCAACCGTTGTTATTTTGAGTTTTATGCACGCACTCTTTTTTTTTGAAGATGGTCTTGCTGTGTAGTTCAGGCTGGCCTGAACTTGCTTATGTAGCCCAGGCTGATCTCAAACTCAGGGCAATCCTCCTCCTGCCTCAGCCTCCTGAGTGCTGGGATTATAGGCGGGTGCCACCATGCCTGGCTTATATATATATATTTTAAAGCCAAATGGTTTCCTTAAGTTATGTAAAATATTTTAAAATTATATTCATTGTGAGGGCCCACTGTTATGATAAAACAGTATGTACATCCAAGGATAGATTAATATGTTACAAGTTTATTTTTAGCCTATAATGAGAAATTCATGGTGGATCTCTTTTACAGCCATGCACTGTAAGTTGTCATGAGAGCATTGTAATTATACTTTCATTCCTAAAAGTTACTGTGCAAAGGAAAACTTTACATCCCTGGGAAATACTCTGTTTAAAATAAGAAAGGGAAACTTCTTAAATAACTCAAAATGTGGTTTAATGCATAGTTTGCCATGTTCTGTGTACATTAAAATCCAGTGAGTTTGAAGCCTGGTGTGGGGGCACCCTCCTGTAATCCCAGCACTTTTAGAGGCTGAGGCAGGAAGATCATGGGTTGGAGCCTAATACAGGTGACCTAGCAACTTAGTAACACCGTCACGAAATTTAGAAAAGGCCTGGACATTCAACTCAGTGCAGGGTAGCTGTGTTCAGTCTCTGTAACTAACACACACACACACACACACACACACACACACACACACACACACACACACAAAAGCAAAAGGTTTTGAGATGCTGACCGTGCTGTGGAGGTGTACCTTCAGCTCAGTGCAGGGTAGCTGTGTTCA